AAAAAGTGTCTGTATTTAAATACATAACATATGCTTTCTCATTAAATATTGTTAACAATAAATTTCAATAGCAAACCCAGTTTGCATTTCGAATTCGCAAATAACATTTATATAAAAAAAATGTTCAGGCATACTTACTATCTTTTATGATCTAAAAAATGCCAAATTATGCATCCAACTTTATTTATACTATTGCTGAAGAACGCCAATTAATCAACCCCTACGTTGTGTCTGATGCCATAATTTGAGTCTGTGCCCAATTTCAGCAAATCCTGGCCTCCTTACTGCTTGCTCATGCCAACATTCAACCATTAAGCTATAAGCTAAAGTTGGACAATTGTCTGGACAAGGTAATAATTGCCTCGCCCTAACCATGTTGATTACTTCTTGATTACTATATCCATAATAGGGCTAAAAAAAATTTATCATATAAATTTTGCCAAATATAATTTTGTTACAATAATAAAAACAATATAAAACTAACTTGTAAGCCATAGCTGTAAATTTCCCATAACACAACACCATATGACCATACATCACTCTCTGTTGTAAATTTGCCATACAAAATTGATTCAGGTGGCATCCATCGGACAGGCAATAACGATTTGGACTGTACTCTAAAGTATAGAATATATAAAATGCATTAGAGAATCAAATAATAGTTAATCATTTCATTTATTTTACCTATAATAATCTGAACTATAGATATCTCGTGACAAACCAAAATCTGAAATTTTTACAGATAAGTTATCACCCACTAAACAGTTTCGAGCTGCCAAATCCCTGAATCATAAAAGGTTAATTTTTAATACAGAAATTGTATGAAAAAATCACATATTTTAGCATAAAAATCTAAAATTACCTGTGTACATAATGATGTCCTGCAAGATATTCCATTCCATTTGCAATTTGCATTGCAATCTGTATAAACTGCACAGAAGATAAACTTTTGCCTTCGTTTGGTGAGTTAGCTATCAAAAACTCATGCAAATCGCCTTGAGTCATATATTCAAATAACATACATAAAGGTTCTTGTTTTAATACCACTCCTAAAATACACACAATATTGTCATGACGTAAGTCTGTTATGAGATCAATTTCTCTTCGAAAATCTGTTTGCGTCTTAACAGAAGCGTTCTCTTTTTAAAGCCTTTACTGCCACAAATAATTTTGTGCCATCATGCTTGGATAATTCTCCCTTGTATACTTTGCCAAATGCTCCTTCCCTAATTCTTCAATAAACTTGACATCTTGCAAATATATTGTGATACTCGATTCACTGTGCTTCGTCCTATTATATTAATACCAAATAATTAGTTCATTTTTCAAAAATATTGTCTATGTATAACACTGTATTTGAGCATTTAGTGCTTTTTCAAATCTCTTAAAATCCAAGGATTAATTACCTGGTGGCGTATTAACAGCAGTCAATAAAGAGCTCATTTCAATAGGCGAGTTTAACCGTGAATTTCCATAAATGTTCTTATCAACATTAGGCAAATTTATCTGAAAATAAAACTAAATAAATCAATTGAAACAAAATAATAATTATTTTACACTGCAAATTTTAATTACATTTTGTATATTATCAGTATTGCTGTTCCTTTTGTATTTTTTGCACCAATAACAAAATAGAGTAAGCAATAATAGTGCAGTCAAGGAGATCATAACGGCAGCAATATAGAACCATAGTCTAGGTGCACATTGTGGCACATTGCAAACCTCTTTTTCCATTTTGATATTATAACACCAAGGTAAACTACTAGAACCACCCGGATTTCTGTAACAAATAATTATAATGAATATGACTTTTCATGCATAGTATTAAAGTTATAGATTTAATTCAATAAATATAGTTTAAGCAAATGATTTGGTCAAAAAAATTTTGGTCAAAAAATTTTGGCCCAAAAAAATTGGTCAAAAAAATTTGACTCAAAAAAATTTGGTCAAAAAAATTTTGGTCAAAAAAATTTTGTCAAAAAATTTTGGTCAAAAAAATTTTGGCCCAAAAATTTTGACCAAAAAAATTTTGGCCGAAAAAATTTTGACCCAAAAAATTTTGGTCAATAAAATTTTGGTCAAAAAAAAAATGATCAGAAAAATTTTGGCCCAAAAAAACTTTGACCCAAAAAATTTTGGTCAAAAAAAATTTTGGTCAAAAAAAATTTGGCCCAAAAAAATTTGGTCAAAAAAATTTTAACTCAAAAAAATTTTGGTCAAAAAAAATTTGGCCTAAAAAATTTTGGCCCAAAAAAAATTTTTGGTCTAAAAAATTTTGACCCAAAAAATTTTGGCCCAAAAAATTTGTCAAAAAAATTTTGGTCAAAAAAATTTTGGCCCAAAAAAATTTGGTCAAAAAAATTTTGGCCCAAAAAAATTTGGTCAAAAAAATTTTGACTCAAAAAAATTTTGGTCAAAAAAATTTTGGTCCAAAAAATTTTGGTCAAAAAAATTTTGGCCCAAAAAATTTTGACCAAAAAAATTTTGGCCCGAAAAAATTTTGACCCAAAAAATTTTGGTCAATAAAATTTTGGTCAAAAAAAAAATGATCAGAAAAATTTTGGCCCAAAAAAACTTTTGACCCAAAAAATTTTGGTCAAAAAAAATTTTGGTCAAAAAAAATTTGGCCCAAAAAAATTTGGTCAAAAAAATTTTAACTCAAAAAAATTTTGGTCAAAAAAAATTTGGCCTAAAAAATTTTGGCCCAAAAAAATTTTTGGTCTAAAAAAATTTTGACCCAAAAAATTTTGGCCCAAAAAATTTGTCAAAAAAATTTTGGTCAAAAAAATTTTGGCCCAAAAAAATTTGGTCAAAAAAATTTTGACTCCAAAAAATTTTGGTCAAAAAAATTTTGGTCCAAAAAATTTTGGTCAAAAAAATTTTGGTCAGAAAAATTTTGGCCCAAAAAAATTTGGTCAAAAAATTTTGGTCAAAAAAATTTTGGTCTAAAAAATTTTGGTCAAAAAAATTTTGGCCCAAAAAATTTTGACCCAAAAAATTTTGGCCCGAAAAAATTTTGACCGAAAAATTTTGGTCAAAAAAATTTTGGTCAAAAAAAAATTGATCAGAAAAATTTTGGCCCAAAAAAATTTTGACCCAAAAAATTTTGGCCAAAAAAAATTTGGCCCAAAAAAATTTGGTCGAAAAAATTTTAACTCAAAAAAATTTTGGTCAAAAAAAATTTGGCCTAAAAAATTTTGGCCCAAAAAAAATTTTTGGTCTGAAAAAATTTGGTCAAAAAAAATTGGGTCAAAAAAATTTTGGCCCAAAAAAATTGGTCAAAAAAATTTTGGTCAAAAAAATTTTGGCCCAAAAAAATTTGGTCAAAAAATTTTGGCCCAAAAAATTTTGACCAAAAAAATTTTGGCCCGAAAAAATTTTGACCCAAAAAATTTTGGTCAAAAAAATTTTGGTCAAAAAAAAATGATCAGAAAAATTTTGGCCCAAAAAAACTTTGACCCAAAAAATTTTGGTCAAAAAAAATTTTGGTCAAAAAAAATTTTGGTCAAAAAAAATTTGGCCCAAAAAAATTTGGTCAAAAAAATTTTAACTCAAAAACATTTTGGTCAAAAAAAATTTGGCCTAAAAAATTTTGACCCAAAAAAAATTTTTGGTCTAAAAAAATTTGACCCAAAAATTTTGGCCCAAAAAATTTGTCAAAAAAAATTTTGGTCAAAAATTTTGGCCCAAAAAAAATTTGGTCAAAGAAATTTTGGCCCAAAAAAATTTGGTCAAAAAAATTTTGACTCAAAAAAATTTTGGTCAAAAAAAATTTGGTCCAAAAAATTTTGGTCAAAAAAATTTTGGCCCAAAAAATTTTGGCCCAAAAAATTTTGACCAAAAAAATTTTGGCCCGAAAAAATTTTGACCCAAAAAATTTTGGTCAATAAAATTTTGGTCAAAAAAAAAATGATCAGAAAAATTTTGGCCCAAAAAAATTTTGACCCAAAAAATTTTGGTCAAAAAAAATTTTGGTTAAAAAAAATTTGGCCCAAAAAAATTTGGTCAAAAAAATTTTAACTCAAAAAAATTTTGGTCAAAAAAAATTTGGCCTAAAAAATTTTGGCCCAAAAAAAATTTTTGGTCAAAAAAATTTTCGGAAAAAAAATTTTGGTTTAAAAATTTTGGTCAAAAAAAAATTTGGTCAAGAAAAATTTCGGTCAAAAAAATTTTGGCCAAAAAAATTTTGGACAAATAAATTTTTGGTCAAAAAAAAATTGGTCAAAAAAATTTTGGCCCAAAAAATTTTGACCCAAAAAATTTTTGGTCAAAAAAATTTTGGTCAAAAAAAATTTGGTCAAAAAAATTTTCGGAAGAAAAATTTTTGGTCAAAAAAATTTTAGTCTAATAATGAATAATTTGGACTAATAAAATCATTTTTTCTACCAGGGAAACAGTCACAATTTTGAATTAAAATGGCGAAATGAAATAAAATAAATCTCGTCAAAATCGTTTCGACGTATCATGAGAACAGTCACATTTTTACATTTGACAGCGCCATTTGAATTCAAAATTGTGACTGTTTTCCTGGTAGAAAAAATGATTTTAGTACGAAAAATATTCAATTTTATACAAAATCTCGTCAAAATCGTTTTGATGTATTAGGAGAACAGTCACATTTTTACATTTGACAGCGCCATTTTAATTCAAAATTGTGACTGTTTTCCTGGTAGAAAAAATGATTTTAGTACAAAAAATATTCAATTTCATACAAAATCTCGTCAAAATCGTTTTGATGTATTGTATAGAAGAAAAATATTGGTCAAAAAATTTTGACCCAAAAAATTTTGGCCCAAAAAAATTTTGACCCAAAAAATTTTGGCCCAAAAAATTTTGGTCAAAAAATTTTGGTCAAAAAATTTTTTGGTCAAAAAAAATTTGGTCAAAAAAATTTTGGCCCAAAAAATTTTGGTCAAAAAACTATGGCCCAAATTTTCAGAAGAAAAATTTTGGTCAAAAAAATTTTGGCCCAAAAAATTTTGGTCAAAAAAATTTTGGTCAAAAAAATTTTGGTCAAAAAAATTTTCGGAAAAAAAATTTTCGGAAAAAAAAATTTGGTCAAAAAAATTTTTAGAAGAAAAATTTTGGTCAAAAAAATTTTGGCGCAAAAAATTTTGGCCCAAAAATTTTTGGTCAAAAAAATTTTAGTATTTAATTTAGTTAATTTAGTTAATTTTAGTAATTTTTACTAATAATGAATAATTTGGACTAATAAAATCATTTTTTCTACCAGGGAAACAGTCACAATTTTGAATTAAAATGGCGAAATGAAATAAAATAAATCTCGTCAAAATCGTTTTGATGTATCAGGAGAACAGTCACATTTTTACATTTGACAGCGCCATTTTAATTCAAAATTGTGACTGTTTTCCTGGTAGAAAAAATGATTTTAGTACGAAAAATATTCAATTTTATACAAAATCTCGTCAAAATCGTTTTGATGTATCCTAATGGAGAACAGTCACATTTTTACATTTGACAGCGCCATTTTAATTCAAAATTGTGACTGTTTCCCTGGTAGAAAAAATGATTTTAGTATTTTCTGGTCAAAAAAATTTTGGCCCAAAAAATTTGGTCAAAAAAACTTTGGTCAAAAAAATTTTGGTCAAAAAAATTTTGGTCAAAAAAATTTTGGCCCAAAACATTTTAGTCAAAAAACTTTTGGCCCAAAAAATTTTGGTCAAGAAAAATTTTGGTCAAAAAAATTTTGGTCAAAAAAATTTTTGGTCAAAAATATTTTTGGTCAAAAAAATTTTGGTCAAAAAAAATTTGGTCAAGAAAAATTTCGGTCAAAAAAATTTTGGTCCAAAAAATTTTGGTCAAAAAAATTTTCGGAAAAAAAATTTTGGTCAAAAAATTTTGGCCCGAAAAATTTTGGTCAAAAAAATTTTTGGTCAAAAAAATTTTGGTCAAAAAAATTTTGGAAAAAAAATTTTGCCCAAAAAATTTTGGTCAAAAAAATTTTGGTCAAAAAAATTTTGGCCCAAAAATTTTGATCAAAAAAATTTTGGTCAAAAAATTTTTGGTCAAAAAAATTTGGTCAAAAAAATTTTGGCCCAAAAAATTTTGGTCAAAAAAATTTGGCCCGAAAAATTTTGGTCAAAAAAATTTTGGTCAAAAAAATTTTTGGTCAAAAAAAATTTGGTCAAAAAAATTTTGGCCCAAAAAATTTCGGAAAAAAATTTTTGGTCAAAAAATTTTGGCCCATAAAAATTTAGCCAAAAAAATTTTTGGTCAAAAAAATTTTGCTAAAAAAATTTTGATCAAAAAAATTTTGGTCAAAAAAATTTTGGTCAAAAAAAATTTTGGTCAAAAAAATTTTGGTCAAAAAATTTTCGGAAAAAAAATTTTGGTCAAAAAAATTTTGGCCCAAAAAATTTGGTAAAAAAAATTTTTGGTCAAAAAATTTTGGTCAAAAAAATTTTGGTCAAAAAAATTTTGGCCCAAAAATTTTGGTCAAAAAAATTTTGGTCAAAAAAATTTTGGTCAAAAAAATTTTGGCCCAAAAAATTTTGGTCAAAAAAATTTTTGGTCAAAAAAATTTGGTCAAAAAAATTTCGGAAAAAAAATTTTGGCCAAAAAAAATTTGGTCAAAAAAATTTTGGCCCAAAAAATTTTGGTCAAAAAAATTTTGGTCAAAAAAATTTTTGGTCAAAAAATTTTTGGTCAAAAAAATTTTTGGTCAAAAAAAATTTGGTCAAAAAAATTTTGGCCCAAAAAATTTTGGTCAAAAAAATTTTGGCTCAAAAAATTTTGGGACTTATTAATTTGGACTAATAAAATCATTTTTTCTGCCAGGGAAACAGTCACAATTTTGAATTAAAAAGGCGAAATGAAATAAAATAAATCTCGTCAAAATCGTTTCGATGTATCAGGAGAACAGTCACATTTTTACATTTGAAAGCGCCATTTTAATTCAAAATTGTGACTGTTTTCCTGGTAGAAAAAATGATTTTAGTACGAAAAATATTCAATTTCATACAAAATCTCGTCAAAATCGTTTTGATGTATTAGGAGAACAGTCACATTTTTACATTTGACAGCGCCATTTTAATTCAAAATTGTGACTGTTTCCCTGGTAGAAAAAATGATTTTAGTATTTTCTGGTCAAAAAAATTTTGGCCCAAAAAATTTTGGTCAAAAAAATTTTGGTCAAAAAAAATTTGGTCAAGAAAAATTTCGGTCAAAAAAATTTTGGTCCAAAAAATTTTGGTCAAAAAAATTTTCGGAAAAAAAATTTTGGTCAAAAAATTTTGGCCCGAAAAATTTTGGTCAAAAAAATTTTTGGTCAAAAAAATTTTGGTCAAAAAAATTTTTGGTCAAAAAAATTTTGGTCAAAAAAATTTTTGGAAAAAAAATTTTGGCCCAAAAAATTTTGGTCAAAAAAATTTTGGTCAAAAAAATTTTGGCCCAAAAAATTTTGATCAAAAAATTTTTGGTCAAAAAAATTTTTGGTCAAAAAAAATTTGGTCAAAAAAATTTTGGCCCAAAAAATTTTTGTCAAAAAAATTTGGCCCGAAAAAAAAATTTGGCCCGAAAATTTTGGTCAAAAAATTTTTGCAAAAATTTTTGGTCAAAAAAAATTTGGTCAAAAAAATTTTGGCCCAAAAAATTTCGGAAAAAAATTTTTGGTCAAAAAATTTTGGCCCAAAAAATTTAGCCAAAAAAATTTTTGGTCAAAAAAATTTTGGCTAAAAAAATTTTGATCAAAAAAATTTTGGTCAAAAAAATTTTGGTCAAAAAAATTTTGGTCAAAAAAATTTTGGTAAAAAAATTTTGGTCCAAAAAATTTTTAAAAATTTTGGTCAAAAAATTTTGGCCCAAAAAATTTGGTAAAAAAATTTTTGGTCAAAAAAATTTGGTCAAAAAATTTTGGTCAAAAAATTTTGGCCCAAAAAATTTTGGTCAAAAAAATTTTGGTCAAAAAAATTTTGGTCAAAAAAATTTTGGCCCAAAAAAATTTTGGTCAAAAAATTTTTTGGTCAAAAAATTAAAAAAATTTTGGTCAAAAAATTTTGGCCCAAAAAATTTTGGTCAAAAAAATTTTGGTCAAAAAAATTTTTGGTCAAAAAAAATTTTGGTCAAAAAAAATTTGGTCAAAAAAATTTTGGCCCAAAAAATTTTGGTCAAAAAAATTTTGGCTCAAAAAATTTTGGGACTTATTAATTTGGACTAATAAAATCATTTTTTCTGCCAGGGAAACAGTCACAATTTTGAATTAAAAAGGCGAAATGAAATAAAATAAATCTCGTCAAAATCGTTTCGATGTATCAGGAGAACAGTCACATTTTTACATTTGAAAGCGCCATTTTAATTCAAAATTGTGACTGTTTTCCTGGTAGAAAAAATGATTTTAGTACGAAAAATATTCAATTTCATACAAAATCTCGTCAAAATCGTTTTGATGTATTAGGAGAACAGTCACATTTTTACATTTGACAGCGCCATTTTAATTCAAAATTGTGACTGTTTCCCTGGTAGAAAAAATGATTTTAGTATTTTCTGGTCAAAAAAATTTTGGCCCAAAAAATTTTGGCCCAAAAAATTTTGGCCCAAAAAATTTTGGCCCAAAAAATTTTGGTCAAAAAAATTTTGGTCAAAAAAATTTTGGTCAAAAAAATTTTGGTCAAAAAAATTTTGGTCAAAAAAATTTTGGCGCAAAAAATTTTAGTCAAAAAACTTTTGGCCCAAAAAATTTTGGTCAAAAAAATTTTGGTCAAAAGAAAATTGGTCAAAAAAATTTTGGTTAAAAAAAATTTGATCAAAAAAATTTTCGGAAAAAAAAATTTCGGAAAAAAAATTCTAGTCAAAAAAATTTTGGCCCAAAAAATTTTGGTCAAACAAATTTTAGCCCAAAAAATTTTGGTCAAAAAAATTTTGGCCCAAAAAATTTTGGTCAAAAAAATTTGGTCAAAAAAATTTTGGTCAAAAAAATTTTGGTCAAAAAACTTTTGACCCAAAAAATTTTCGTCAAAAAAATTTTGGCCAAAAAAATTTTTGGTCAAAAAAATTTGGTCAAAAATTTTCGGAAAAAAAATTCTGGTCAAAAAAAAATTTTGCTCAAAAAAATTTTGGTCCAAAAAATTTTGCTCAAAAAAATTTTGGCTCAAAAAATTTTGGTCAAAAAAATGTTTGGTCCATAAAATTTTGGTCAAAAAAAATTTCGGAAAAAAAATTCTGGTCAAAAAAAATATATACTAAAAATACACGTGATGTTTGGTGGGGGAGGGGGTGATAATTTTGAATATCACCATGTATCACCAAGGGGGAGGGGGGGTCCAAAATTCCTTAAAAACTCGCACACGTGATTAATGGACGTCCCCAAAGTGAAAAAGATTTTTAAGATTCAATTTCCCGACGTTTCAAGTATTTACAATAATTTTCCTGCCTTCTACTTCCGATAGTACGCAATCTCAAAAATCAAGATCAGAAAAATTTTTAGAAAAAAAATGTTGGTCAAAGACATTTTTGGACAGAAAAATTTTTTGGTCAAAAAGCTTTTGGTCAAAAAAATTTCGGGAAAAAAATTTGACATTTTTGGACAGAAAAATTTTTTGGTCAAAAAGCTTTTGGTCAAAAAAATTTCGGGAAAAAAAATTTGGTCAAAAAAATTTCCATCAGAAGAATCACTTTTCAATTT